AGCTCCCTCCTCCCTTTGTCAGACAAGTTTCTTGGGCTGACTATGTTATCAGTGATGCTTTTTGTGTTTATTTTTTGGGCAACAGAAACGGGCTGTAAAGGCAGAAAATCACGTCATAAAGCTGAAACAGGAAATAAACTTGCTCCAGGTAATTAAGGAAAAGATCTTAAGTGTTTTCCCCTTTCATTCATGGAGTCACATGTGAGTGTGAGAAAGATATTGCAGGGCATGGTGGCAAATGCCTGTAGTCCCAGCTACTTTGGACCCTGAGGCAGGAGGATCACAAGTTCAAGTCCAGCCTCATCAACTTGGCAAGTTTAAAGTTTAAAATTTTTTAAAAGAGGCTGGGGTGGTAGAGCGCTTGCCTAGCACATGTGAGGCACTGGGTTCGATCCTTTGCACCACATAAAAGATAAATAAATAAAACAAAGTTTAAAAAAAAAATTTTTTTTAAGGGCTGGGCAGGTGACCCAGTGGTGGAGCATTTGCCTAACACGTGCAAGGTCCCTAATTCTATCCCTGGTACTGAAAAAAGTATGGGAGACCCTTTTCTGGGTTCACCCTATTCCCCCCAGCAGGCAATCTCAAAATCGGGTGGCACAGGCTTTCCACTAGGGCCTCAAATAAATGGAGGGCATGCTCCTCCTGGTCCCATTTTTCATGTTTTTAATAATTTGGCATCTAGGGTGGGGCGTGTACCTGTAAGAAGTCCCCATTTCTTAGGGCTAGATACTGAGTATATCCTGTAGTTAAGGGAGAAATGTTGGGGTTTGTCTCCCTTAGGAAATACCCTCAGCAAGGCAAAGCACCTGTTGGAATGAGTGGGCCAGGGCCCACGGATAAGTCCACACCTCTCCACCAAGGGTGACGTGTGTTTTCTGTTGGGCTGCCTTTAAGTAGTCTCCACTCAGCCATGAAAGTCCTTAGCAGACTTCCACCCTTTTTTCCCAGGCACAGGTCTCCAACTTCAAGCGCGAGAATGAAGCCCTGAGGTCAGGCCAGGGTGCCAGCCTGACGGTGGTAAAGCAAAATACTGACGTGGCCTTACAGAATCTCCGTGTTGTCATGAACAGTGCACATGCCTCCATAAAGTAAGTGCTGTGGGCTGGAGGCCCTGAAACCAGTAAGGGGTGAGACTAGAATGGTCACTACCTGTTTGGGTAATGGCCCAGGCTCTTGGTCTGGGGCTGGACCAAGTTACTCCAGGGAGGGAGGTGTGTTAGGGGGACCCATTAAATCTCCAGGTCATCATATGGGTGGCTGAGCAGTCTTTTTAACCTGCTTTGGAGAAGCAGTCTCCACTTGGAAGGCACAAACATTGTCATGCAGACCCAAGTCCAGCTCCTTAATACTGAGGTTATGGATAAAGGATATAATAGATTTCCTCTTATTATAAAAACTGAATATAGCCAGGCGCAGTGGTGTACACCTGTAATCCCAGCAGCTTGGGAGGCGGAGGCAGGAGGATCGTGAGTTCAAAGCCAGCCTCAGCAGAAGCCGGGTGCTAAGCAACTCAGTAAGACCCTATCTCTAAAATACAAAATAGGGGTGAGATGTGGCACAGTGGTCAAGTGCCCCCCAAGTTCAATCCCTGGTACCAAAAAGAGAGGAAAAAAAATGCATTTGCAGGATTTGCAGAGGCACTAAATTGTTCTTGGTGCAGCAACCCTGCTGGGCAATGTCAGTTGCTGTCATTACTAATAATGATCACAGATGCTCCTTGGCTTACTACGGAACCACATCTCCGTAATCCCACCATTTTGTACATTGACAGTATTGTACATTGAAAATGCATTTAATACCCTTAATCTACCATACACCAGAGCTTAGCAGCATAGCAGTGTGAAGTCCTGGGTAACTCCTAGGATTGTGTGTGCCTGATGCCTGCTGTTGCTATCCAGCATCCCAAGGGTAACGTGCCACATGTGGCTGATCTGGGAAAAGATCAAACTCCCAAGTTCAGTGCCTGTGAAATACACATAGCTTCCACACCTTCATAAAGTCAAACTATTATAAGTTGGGAACCAGCTGAACTTGTTTCTCACTGGGCTGATCTCTGCAAGATAGTTGTGGCACCGCACTAGAAGTGCTTACAGGCAATGAAGTCCATTCTCCTTTTGAGCAAAGCATCTCCTCAGTGGATCTGAGGGGGTTTTACTCTGGAACCTCTTTGCTTTAGTTCCACTATTGCTTTTTTGCATGTGTTCAGTTCTGGGGGGTTAACCCAGGAGCACTCTACTACAGCTATACCCCAAGCCCTTTTTTTTGGTACCAGGAATTGAACCCAGAGGTGCCTAACTACTGAGCCACATCCCTAGCCCTTTTTTGAGTCTTGCTAAATTGCCCAGGTTAACCTTGAATTTGTAATCCTGCCTCACCCTCCTGAGTTGCTGGGATTATAGATATGTACTATATGTGTGGCTAATTCATTGCTATTGATCAGTTGTAGTTAACAGTCCCCAATATATTTCCATTTCAGGCAGCTGGTTTCTGGAGCTGAAACATTGAATTTTGTGGCTGAAATCCTTAAATCTATAGACAGAATTTCCGAAATTAAAGATGAGGAGGAGAAGTCTTAAGGACCTCTGGATGCTTCCAGCTCCCAGCTCCGTGTGCCCTGATCAGCAGTGCTTCATCTGAATGTGCAATTGTGCCCCAAACTATGCAGTCTTCACTCAGAATGTTTATCATGAGATACTAATTTCATGACCTAAAACAGTGTTATTGGCCACCTGCAATAAGAGCAGCTCTTGTCCATGAGTTGCTTTTGTGGTTTATGTGCAGTCCTTCTTGGTGAAATTCTGTTTTGTAGATTCAGTAACCTGTTGGAAGAAATTTTTATAAAATCCAGTGAGTTTTTAAATTACTAAATATGAAAACAAAAGTTCTGTAATAAGTGCTCTTCCATTTTCATCCCAGAACATTGATAAGTTCAGTTGATTATCTTGATTACGTAAGTAGAACACTAAGAACCACCCAGGAATGAGCAGCTTGAACAGGGACATGTGCCTTTTTGCTGTCACTCAGCGCCTATCAGCCTTCCTGGGGTGGTTTCTGTGGTCAGTGGCCCAAGTACAGAGACACCACTTGGTGGACGCTGCTATTCCTCCTACAGGGACACAAGGTTGCAGACATTCCACACTGTGAAGGTGTCTAAACTTGGGCTTTGAGCCTTCAGCTTTGAAAAGCTATTTTGGCTGGTGATTCTGATACACATTTCAAGTGTGTTTTTACAGTGAAGCTTAAAGTTCGGTAGTCTAAAGCGTGTGCAGAGCCTCATTGGGTAGGCATGAGGTCTTTGGGCTCCTCATACCTGCTTTACTGTTTGGGAGGGCACAACAGGCACCCTGTGCCTTTTGGGCTGTTTTCCTGGAGATGCTATTTTTTACCTTCCTTTTCCCCTCTTGTTCAAACCTACAGGTTTCCTGTTTAAATAAATTCTGAAGTTCACATACACTGTGTTTTCATTCTGACTTGACCAATTCTTTTTTTTTTTTTTTTAATACCTTCATTTTGTTTGTTTAGTTTTTTTGTGTGGTGCTGGGGAACGAACCCAGTGCCTCACACATGCGAGGCAAGTGCCTTACCACTGAGCCACAACCCCAGCCCTTGACCAATTCTTCATGCACAAAAACCACGCTGGCTGTCCTCTGATGCTACAGCATGTTTTGCATGTTCTGGTCATTGCTTATGACTTAATAAGCTGGCAGCTCTCCACCCCTCCCCTAGCACATTGTAGGCATGGTATGTGAGCCACATAGCTGTACATTTTGAGGTTGGACAGATAAGATTCTAGCACTGAGTCATTCTTAAGAGCTCATGTGGCTGGATTTTCAGACAAGGCATTGAAAGTGCTAGTCACTGTGGAGTGTCCAACAGCCTGCTCTTCCACCCCTCATTGCTGCTGCCATTGGTGTACAGGGGTCAGAGGGACCAGACAGGGCAGTGTAGCAGGACAATGCTAGAAGGTTCTCCTAGGTGCACAGTAGCTCTGGGAAGCCTCTGAAGGGCTGGGGCTCCCGGGGGGAAGCCTGAGTCACAGATCCACCTTGAGGCCCTGCATGACAGTATTTTATGGGGGGTGGAGGGACAGGCTGATGTCCCCTTCACCCACTGGACCCAAAGCAGGGTGGCAGCCCTCAGTTAATGCACCTAACACTTGCTGCAATGTCAGCGGGTGAGATGGGGGTGGATACACAGAAGTTTGCATATTTTTCCCTAGGTATGTTTAAAGTGTTCCAAGGCAAAATCTCTGAAGCACAATCTATGGTGCTGTTTAATCTGTGCCTCTGGGTTTTGAGCCCTACACAAGCAAGACCTGGTACAGTGCAGGCGATAAAATAGCTCTTACCCAAAGAACCAACAGCTTCCTGCTTCCGACATTCACTCTCCCGCCAGTCCCAGGCTCCTGGGGGGCCCTCACCAGGCCTCACCTTTTGGTGGCTCTAGCTCTTTGACACCAAAAGCCTACCTCATTTCACCCGACAGGCTCCCGCCCCCGACCCGGTACAGTTCTCCAGCCGGCTCATCTTCCATGCGTCAGGTCCTGAAAAGAGGCCCGACCCCGCTCTGGCAGCGCTGGGGTGTCCTCAGTCCACGCTGGCAAGCTCAAAGGCACGAACCGCCGGCCCGGCGGCTCTGCAGGCTGGACGTCCGGAAGCACGAAGGTGTGCACACGTAAAGAGGGACTCGGGCCGGCGGGAAGCCCTCCCTCCGGCCGTCACGCAAACCCCACGGGCTACCAGGAGCGAGCTCAGCGGGGTACTGCGCACCCCACACTTCCGCCAATCGGCCGCGGCCTTCCCGTGGTGCTCCGCGCCGCCGGGGCGGGACTTCCGGTGCGCGGCGCTCCACTTCCGCGACCGCAGGAAGCTCGGTGTCTTCGGTCGCTTGGGAGACCGTGCGACTGTGAAGGCAGGTGAGGCGCAAGCAAGGGGAGGGCGGGCGGCGGGGTCGGGGCCGCCCCGCGGAAGTCTCGCTGTCTTCAGGAGAGGACGGCCGAGTCCAGGAGGGGGCGGGGCGGCCCGGCGAGGCCGCGTGGGCGCCGAGCGCGCGTCGGCCCGGGACGGCTGGCCTCCCCGGCCCCTCTCCCCGGCGCAGGGCCGAAGTGTCTCCGAGCCCGTGCTTCTGCGGCTTCCTGGGGTTTATCAGTCCCGCCCCAAGGGGACTCGTGGCCCCGGGGAGCAGCTGGGGCTGAGTGGGCTGTCCAGTGCCCGCCGTCTTCTGGGGAGTCTGTGAGGTTCTGCGCTTTGAAGGGAGAGAGGACCAGACAGCAGGGAAGGCCGGTGGCTCCTGACGCAGGAACTTGTGGCCTCGACCTCCTTTCTGCTCGGCCTGAGCAGCGTGGGAGCGAGCGGGATGAGAAGTGGCGCTCTCTGTGCAGCACAAGTTGCCTTTCCCTCTAGGGCCGGGCTTCCAGAAGAACACTGCCTGGCCAGTGTGTGCTGCAGATCTGGTTGGCTTCTCGCTGAGTTGAATTCCAGGTTTAAACGAGGTGCCTCAGCAGGAGCGATTCAGCCAAAGGGCCCCCACTGGCACATACTCTCTTTTACTGCAGGGCAGGACCCCGTCAGTTCTCATCAGGGAGAAGCCATGCCAAGGGCTGGGAAGGTTTTTCTCTTTGTTTTTGATTCTGGGTGTGTGCTTATGTTTTCTAGAATATTCTCTGCCAATGTTTTATTCTCCCACCCTTCTCTCTTCCCAGCTTCCTTCTCCCTCCAGACTTTACTCACCAGTGTTCCCTGCACAGAAAAAGTTCCCTGTGCTTCAGCAGATAACTGGTTCAGTGTCAACACTATCACCTGCTATTCCAAGGCTGGAGATAGGGCAGGAAATGGGCAAAGCCTTGCCTCTGGGAGCCTGCTTTCCGGGCCTGTTAATGGCAGTAGCCTAGTTCACCTTGTTTCAGTGACCGTTTGTTTAGTGCCTTATGTGCCCAGCCCTGCAGCTCTGGTCATAGGTTCATATTTCACGGGAGCTGAGCATCTGGTTTTAGGCTGCTGGTGACATGGCCCTGCACTTTCTATACTAGGTGACCATTTTCCTTATGGTTGGACCTAGGAGCAGAAACCATGCAGGTAGTCTGTCCATCCACTGCTGGTACTGCTTCTAGCCTTAGCTGGCAGGGGGACATTGATAGGATGTTGGCCCCTGATAGAGCAAAGAGCAGGAGTTCTTGGGGATGCAGAAGGTTGCAGCTCTGGGGTTCCCTAGGCTGGGCCTTCCCTCTGGGAAATCCAGGGCAGGATTCTGCCATCCCCAGTAAGTATGTGTCTGAAGAAGGATGGGTCCTGGCACTTTGATGGTTGTTTGGGGGTTTGGTGTTTTTTTGTTGTTGTTGTTGTTTTTTTTTTGGTACCATGGATTTAACTCAGGGGCACTTAACCACTGAGACATATCTCTAGCCCCTGCCCCCCCCCACACACCTTTGTGTGTGTGTATTTTACTTAGATACAGGGTCTCATTGAGTTGCTTAGTGCCTCACTAAGTTGCTGAGGCTGGCTTTGAACTTGTGATCTTCCTGATTCAGCTTCCTGAGCCGCTGAGATTACAAGTGTTGTTGGTTTTTAACACCTCATAATGTATTGTGGAGCAGGCAGAAGTCATGGATGTAGATGCTGAAAGGGAGAAAATAACAAAGGAGATAAAGGAGCTGGAAAGGATTTTGGATCCCAGCTCCTCCAACATCCATGTGGAGGTTTCAGAATCAAGTCTTGATTCGGATTCCGATGCAGGTAAGCCTAGCCATCCTAGAGTGTGGCTGAAAGCGTGTGCACCCTCCGGGTTCTTTTCAGCCTCATGCTGCATAACCAGGTCCTATTTCCTGCCCAAAATAGCCTCTGCCTTTTCCCCAGCCAGAGAGTTAATCCCAGTCCTTTGTTGCTAACTAGCCCATGGGCCTGCTGGTACCCCATCTTTGCTGCCCTCTGGCCTTGGGCTCTAGGGCCCTCTGGGTAAGCATGCTGTCCTGGGAAGAGAGGGTGGGCCCAGAGCTGACTGTTGCACAGACATCCAGGATCTCTTCTGTGGGCTCTCCCACAGTCCTCTAGAGGGACCACTTTCCGTTCCCATCATTTCCATCATCACCCTCCAGTACAGTGTATTTGTTTCCAACAGATTCATTGCCCAGTGAAGACTTGGAAGCTGTTGAGCCCCCAATCCTGGTAATTGCTACTTGCCCTTTTTTTTTTTTTTGCATTGTAAAATTAGTACATGTTATGAAAACAAAACATCAGAGAGTATTTGTTGTTAAAATTAAAAATTGTCCCCAGAAACAGCCACTGTTAAAAGCTTAGTGGCTGTGCCTTCAGCCTTTTTCCTGAGCTGCTGGGATTACAAGCGTTGTTGGTTTTTAATACCTCATAATGTATTGTGCAGCAGGCAGAAGTCATAGATATAGACGCTGAAAGGGAGAAAATAACAAAGGAGATAAAATGCTAACTTTGTTTCTCCACATCATGCACCTGACTGCCTCCTCAGTTTGTCTGCTTTGTCTTAGTTTACCAATCTGAATAATGGGGTTGCTTGAGCAAAGATGAGCATCTAGAACAGCGCCTAGTAAACACCTAGGTTTGTCAGTTGTTATTAATCATTTTGTGTTTATTTTGAGTTTTACTTTAGGAAATTATTGCAATTTGCTTATTTTCTCAGGTTCATAGGTAAAGTCCTCTTGTATGTTTGAGGGCTGTATTGGCCCTCCTCAGGCAGAGGACACAGTCCTGAGGGCTTTGGACCGTCGCCCTCTGGTGGGTGCATTGGTGTCTCCAGCTCTGGGCTGTGATGCTCTGCAGACAATTTCTTCCTCATAACCTGTAGTAGGTGGTACAGAGAGAGAAGCAACATGAGCTAGCGTGAAGTTCAGTGTTCACAGGAACCTTTCTTTTAGTAATTGGAAGCTACTTATTTTCTCACACTGGCCCTACTTCAAACAATTGGATCTCCCTTTGTTGTGGATCAGGAATAGTGGTTGGGGACTCCCACAGACATGCCCTGCCACTCACCTGAGTCACCTCTTGGGTCCACATTTGGTGCTGTTGCACTGGAGTTGTCTCCATGTCCCAGGTGTCCAGTAGCTGGAATGTGGGTTTGTGTCCAGGGCTGTGGGGAGGGGAAATACCCCTATATCCTATTTCTTCATTTCCTGTTTCTGGCTCCTAACTAGGAAGAAGAAAGGTGGGGTGAGGCCAGCAATGATGAGGAAGACCCCAAGGATAAAACCCTCCCTGAAGACCCTGAAACTTGTTTACAGCTGAACATGGTCTATCAGGAGGTCATCCAAGAGAAGCTGGCAGAGGTCAGCTTGCTTTTGGCCCAGAACAGGGAGCAACAGGTAGGGTTACCCATGCATGCTGACCCCCCTGATCCTGAGAGTCTGCACAACGATGCTCCTAGGACAGGGTTTTGGTTGGTCTGCTCCCCAGCCACCTCCCCTGTTTGTCCCCAAATGGCCTGCAGTTGGCCTTGTTTATGTCCCAGGAGGAGATCCTATGGGATCTGGCTGGGTCCAGAGGCCCCAGGGTGAAGGATGGCAAGAGTCTACCCCCAAACATGTACATCGGTCACTTCATGAAACCGTACTTCAAAGACAGGGTCACTGGAGTGGTGAGTGAGTGAGGCCCTGCTTCTTGTTGGCAGGGCTCAGCACCCTATGGGGAGGGGCTCTCATCTCCACAGTCTGCTGTGAGTGGTCTTAAGTTCCCTTTGGCCCTTCAGGATGACGTGATCCAACTTCCTCAAAACTTTGCTTTATCTTATGAAAGTCAAGGTCTCCTTCTTGAGTAGGCAAACCATCAGGGGCCTATTTCCCTGAGGTGGCACCATGGCAATTAGGAAGTCTTCCATGTGGAGGTCCCAGTGTTGCTCTTAGCAGGCCTGGGCTCCTTGTCAGCCCTCATGGAGTCACTGAGTCCCCCGCTGTGCCAGTTGGCTCATACCCAGCTGTTGGCTCTGGCTGCAGAGGTCTAGTGTCTGGTCTACATGTGAGCAGGCACATGAGCAGGCTGGGAGGAAATGGCTTGAGTCCCAGCCTGGGCCCTGGAGGTGCGTGCTAGACCCTGCAGGTGAATGCAGCCTGGTCTGCCACATGGTGACACCATGCGCTCTGACAGGGGCCTCCTGCCAATGAAGAGACACGAGAGAAGGCTGCTCAGGGAATCAAGGCTTTCGAGGAGCTCCTGGTGACCAAGTGTAAGAGCCCAGCCCAGCCAGTCCTCTGAGTGTGGGGACCCAGGAGGCCTTTCCCATGGCCCTGCCTCTCCTAGGCCTATTTGTCATGTGGTCTTATGTGCTCCCTCAGGCTTTGATCACTGGGACTGGCCACTTGACCTCTTGCCTTTCTCTTGCTGGGTGGGTTCTTTTCAAAAAAAACCTGTCACAGGGGCAGATGGGGACCACCCCAAACCCCACTAATCCTGCCCTGGCTGGGAATGGTCAGCCCTGTCAGACCCTGCTGTGAACTTGGGGTAGGGCTCAGGTGAGGTCCTTTGCTAGACAAGAGGGGCCGGCATCTGGGTTGCATCTCACTGCCTAACTGGCATCCACAGAACCTCAGCACAGCTTCCTCCTCTGGAGGTGGGACCCGTAGTGATGCCCAGGGTTGCATTGGGTCCTGGGGAGTGTGGAGACTGCTATGGTGTTGCTCCTCTGCAGGGAAGCACTGGGAGAAAGCTTTGCTCCGAAAGTCAGTGGTGAGTGACCGCCTACAGCGCCTGCTTCAGCCCAAGTTACTGAAGTAAGTGGGAAAGGCATAGGTCAGCACAGCTTTTCTTGCAGTGGGAAACCTGGGTAGCCATATGGGCTCGGCAAGGTCCAGCATGCATGTTTCCTCACTCTGCTACAGCCCTACCATCCCCAGAGAGATGCTGGTGCTTGAGCTTTACCCTCCTCTGGAGGAGGTAGCCACAGACATTGCTGGCTCAGGCAGTTTCTTCTCTGGGCCTCTGTTTCCCTCATGCATGAAGCCTGCTCTCTAGGTCTGCTGGTGGGAGTGTCACATGGCCACAGGGTATCACAAAGTGCCACCTGGCTGTGCATGCTCAAAGGGTGCTGCTGCTTTGATAATTAGGTTGGAGGTACAAGTTCCTGCCAGAGCTGGGGCACCAGCAGATCCTCAGGCAGTGCCAGAGGAGGAATCACAGGATCTGATCTGGACTGACGGTCCCTTAGCCCCAGGTTCCCAGTGCCTGTGTACACCTATTGCATGGAGGAGGGAGGATGGTGTCTTTTTGATGGAGCAGATGGCATTTGGCACCAGGAGCCCTGGGCCAGACCAGGGGTTTCCGAGTGTTCACCAGCCCCCTCATGGATTGTATATGGTGAGGGTTTGTGGCAGCAACACACATCAAGTCCTTCTTGAGGCTGTGAGATAGCCAGTTCTTCCCTTCCTGGCCTGAATCAGGATGTCTGCAGCTGTCTGCATCTTGTGCACCCAGGTTTGCATGGTCGTCCAGGCTCTGAGGCACTGGCAGCAGGTAGCTACCACCTGTTTCCACAAACACATGGCAGCTCTTGCCCTGGACGATACTGTTCTGACTGTAGGCACACCCCAGAGGGGGTGCAAAGCTGAGGCAGGAGAAAGGGCACTCCGAGAGCCAGTCCCTGGCCCCCAGGAGCATGGCACCATCCACAGCCTGCTTCCATTTTGCCTTTCAGGCTCGAGTACTTGCGCCAGAAGCAGAGCCGGGTCTCCAGTGAGTCAGAGCAGCAGGCCCTGGAGAAGCAGGTTAGGGAGGCAGAGAAGGAGATCCAGGACATCAAGTGAGCCAGGGCCTTCCAGGGCTCCGGGGAGAACCAGCAGGCCAGGTATGAACCTAACACCCTGTCCCTCCTTCAGCCAGCTTCCAGAGGAGGCCTTGCTGGGGAACAGGCTGGACAACCACGATTGGGAGAAGATTTCCAATATCCATGTGAGTTGGACTCTGGCAGCTGGATGTGGGTCACATTTAGGTAGGCAGGCCACACTTTCCCTGGCCTCTTATCCCCTCAAGTCAAAGGCACATCTAGCAGTTGAGAGGAGCAAGCAGCTTCGTAGGCCCCTTGCCACTGGTGTGAGGCAGCTCTTCTGAAGTGGAAGTTTCTAAGGTTCCCAGCTTTGCATGTGAACCTGTCTCTGCTTTTTCGCTGGGCAAGGCCTTGTGAGCTGGATAGATTCCACTTATTTCTGCCCACAGGAGTGGCTGACAGGCAGAGTAACAGCTCAGTCCAGTGCTGTGTCTGAGTGTGCTTGGAGTTGGTAACCCCAATAGACTCTTTCTTGTTGGCACAGTTTGAAGGAGGCCGCAGTGCAGAGGAGATCCGAAAGTTTTGGCAGAGCTCTGAGCATCCAAGCATCAACAAGCAGGAGTGGAGTGTCGAGGAGGTGGAGCAGCTGAGGGCCATCGCAGCTACGCATGGCCACCTGGAGTGGCACTTAGTTGCAGAGGAGCTGGGGGTAAGGAGCAAGACATGAATTCATTCCCACACCACGGCCCGATTGGCCTCCAAGGGCCTCAGTGCTCGGATCCTGCTGCAGGCCCTGACTGCAATCTCTGCCGCAGTGAGCAGCTGTGCTCCAGGCTTTCTCCTCCGTCAGCCTTCTGTGAAGCTTATTTTGTTGGTATTTTCTAGTTTCTTTTGAGTTCTTAGACTGTTTTTCTGCTCTCCCAGGTGAGGTAGACAGCTGAAGAAAGGCCACAGTTCTGAGAGCAGCCTGGTGCAGAATGTCCTTTTTGTGGATTTCTAGAGAATCTTTAGTTTCAGTTCTTGTTGTTTCTTGGAACCCAGGTTTTTCTAGACTTTGGTTTTTCATTTTTAAATAGGTCTCTGAAGTCCTCGCTGTGCTTGTTGTTCCGGTTATGTTTTTTGTTTATGATCCAGTAATGTGCTCTGAAAAATCTTATTTTTAAAAGTTATCACTTTTTTAAAAAATATTTTTAGTTGTAGATGAACACAATTTCATTTCATTTGTTTCTTTGTTTGTTTTTATGTGGTGCTGAGGATGGAACCAGTGCCTCACATGTGTGCAGCAGGTGCTCTGCTGCTGAGCCCCAGCTCTAGTGATCCCTTCTTATGGCAGAGCACATGGCTGTCACAAATAGCTAGACTTGCCAAAACCTGTGTGTTTGTGTGAGAGAGAAAGTGAGCCATACCCCAGCCCTGCTGTCCACCTGCAGTCTTCCTTCCTCAGCCTCCTGAGTAGCCAGGATTTATAGGTGTGCACCACTGTGCCTGCCCAAAATGTTTAAAAATTAAAAACATTTCTTGAATTGGGCACAATGGCTCATGCCTATAATCCCAGTGACTCAGGAGGCTGAGCAGGAGGATCACAATTTCAAGGCCAGCCTCAGCACCTTAGTGAGACCCTGTCTCAATTTAAAGAAGCAGAGTGGTGTGTGTGTGTGTGGGGGGGGGTGCTGAGATGTAGCTCATTTGTAGAGCACCTCTGAGTTTGATCCCCAGTACTCCTCCCACAAAACAAAACAACAACAACCAAAAAAAAACGCATTTTCCACTCTGAGGGCCAGTCAGGCAAGTTTGGGACTGAGTGTCTTACTTTCAGACAGCTGAAGAAAGGGCACAGTCTTGCCTTGGTCAGTGTGTACCCATGCACACAGCAGACCAGGTTTGGGAGGACAGTATTAGCAAGGCCCACATCAAGAGGTTGGCTGTGCAGCAACCCAGCACAGAGGCATGCCAGCACTGCAGCGAGGGCACCTCTGGGCTCACGCCTCACAGCAGCCTCAGAAGTGTTTGAGAGGAAAGCTCGGAAGCAGACCTCAGGGCTAAGCACTGCCATCCAGCCCCAGGAGTCCTCTGCTCAAGAGCTTGCTTTGAAGAAGAGGGTTCATGTTATGGGAACCTGTCCATAGAAGGCCAGTTTCCCACCAGGAGATAAGCATCAGTTGTGTAGCTAAGGTTTTGTTTGCCGGATTCTCCCTCTTGGTGTCTGGAGCTGTGGATGCCACACCAAGCACCATCCCAGCAGTGCCCATCTTGGAAATCAAGAGCTAGCGGGTACCAGCAACAGGCTTATAGATCTGTGAGGCACAGGGTAGCTCTACTCCTTCCAAGCTGGGTGCTCCCTTCCATCAAGTGTGGGAGTTGACAGGGTGGTTTAGGTATTGTTTGAAGTAGCCATTGACTCAGTATAAATGGTGGAGCCCTCTTCCAGGAGGCTGATGTTTTCCTGGTCCTGGGTAGCGGGTCTGGTGTCGCTACCTAGGAGCTACCTGTAGGAGCTAGAAGAGGAGAATGCTGGTTCACAGAAGCACGTGCCCCATGGCACTCTGGACATCCTTTCATGTGCAGGGCAAAGCCCAGTAACACCTCTGTGCTTTGTTTGGCTTTGGGAAGACCAGCCGCAGCGCCTTCCAGTGCCTGCAGAAATTCCAGGAGCACAACAAAGCCCTGAAGCGCAAGGAGTGGACAGAGGAGGAGGACCGCATGCTCACCCAGCTGGTGCAGGAGATGCGTGTTGGGAGCCACATTCCCTATCGCAGAAGTGAGTGCGCCATATGCCCTAATAGTCTGAGGCCCCACGTAGGCAGGAAAGGGACTTGCTGGGGCAGTTCACCTCTGTGCTTGTGAGAGTTTGGAGGGAAAACAATGGCTGGTCGCCCCAAGTACTGCACAACAGGAACCTTAAGGGTCAGAGTGACTTCTGTGTGCCCATTTGGATGCCAGGCCTCTCAGCCCCACAAACCCTCTATCCATAGTTGTCTACTACATGGAGGGCAGAGACTCCATGCAGCTGATTTATCGGTGGACCAAGAGCTTGGATCCCAGCCTGAAAAAGGGGTTCTGGGCCCCAGAGGAAGATGCTGTAAGTTTGTGAGCCTGAGGAAAGTTGTCTTCAGCGGAGTTCCCCTGGCTCTCCTGAGTGGCCGCTATGCTTGGCATTCGCATCTGAGCCTGACAGGCTCTGGATAGTCAGGTTACAGCTGTAACCAGAAGGTATCATTTGTCTGCCTTTCCCTTCCTATAGAAATTGCTTCAAGCTGTTGCCAAATATGGGGAGCAGGATTGGTTTAAAATCCGGGAAGAGGTGCCAGGTAGGAGCGATGCCCAGTGCAGAGATCGGTGAGTTGCATAGCACCCAGGTGAGGAAGGGCTTGTTTGGGTCACTCTCCTTAGGCTACAGGGCAGGCCAGATGGCTGACCCAGGAATGCTATGCTGTCAATGAGGAGGGTGTGGCCTAAGAATCTCTGCATACCAGAATAAGCTTTGCTTTTTTGTGTGTGTGTGTGCTGGGGCTCTCTCACTGAGCAACACCCTCAGCCCTTTTTGTTTTTTATTTTGAGACAGGGTCTCACTAAATTGCTGAGGCAGGTCTCAAATTTGCAATTCTCCTGCCTCCACTGCCTGAGTCACTGGGATTATAGGTGTGCCCTGGCATGGATAAAATATTTTTTTACAACCCAGACTTAGAAGACATTTGTACTACTAGTCAACCAGGAGTACGATGCTGGCTTCACTTGGCAGCTCCTGGTTGGTAGATCTCCTGCCCCAGAAAGCAGGTGGGCGAGGCTCCAGGCAGCTACTGCAGCCTGCTCCCTTCTTCCCTCATCTGTTTAGTAGCTCATTGAGATGCAGTTCCCGAACCTCACAACTCACTCTTCTGAAGTGTGGAGGCTAGCAGTCTTTATTGTACTCATTGAGCTATGTGGCACCACCACAGGACTTTTGACAGTCTCATCACTCCAGCAACCTCAGTGACAACACTGAGCCTGGGTCAGGAAACAGGCACAGCTCCAAAGAATGCACAAAGGTGGCCAATAAACACATGAAAAGAAGCCATCATCACTATTCATTACCAAAGCAGTCAGCACCATAATGAGATACCACTTCACACCCAGTAGGGTGAACGTTATTTTTTATTTTTTTTAAAAGAAAGGTGGGTGTGGTGACATTCAACCTGTAATCCTAGCTAGTAGGGAGACTGAGGTAGGAGGACGGTGAGTTAAGGCAAGCCTCAGCAACTTAGCAACTACCGTGTCTCAAAATAAAAAATTTAAAAAGGGCTGAGGATTAGTTCAGTGATAGAGCACCCATGAGTTCAATCCTCAGTACTGCTAAGAAGAAAAGGGGAAAAAAAAAAAAAAAGTACTGGTGAAGATGTAGAAGAGTTGGAGCCCTTGGGTCTGGTGGGGACTTGGGGTGGTGTAAAACCCGGCAGCTTCTCCATGGTGAGCAGGGTTCTACCCTGTTCAGTCAGCTTTTTTGCTGTAGTGACTAAAAAACCCAATCAGAACAATTCTAGGGGAAAACAAGTTTATTTGGGGGCTCACAGTTTCAGAGGTCTCTGTCCGTAGAAAGCTTGCTCCATTCCTCAGGGCTCTAGGTAAGGCAGAACATTGTGACAGAAGAGTACAGTGGAGGAAGGTGGCTCATGTGATGACCAGACAGCAGAAACTCCACTCACCAGATACAAAATAGATACCCACCCCAAAGGCCACGCTCCCAGGGACCCACCTCCCGCAGCCCCACCTATCCACCTCCAGCCCCCACTCAGTTAATCCCAACAGGGATTGATTCAGTGATTGGGTTAAGACTCATAACCGAATCATTTCCTTCTAAACCCTTTTAAACCTTGCATTGTCTCACACATAAGCTTTTGGGGAACACCTCACATCCAAACCATAACATACCCAAACTAATCAATAGATACAAAACCCGAAACAATTGGAAGCAGGAATTCATATACTTTGACAGCTGTATTTGAAGAAACATTGTTCCCAAAGTGGATAAAACAAAATGTGCCATATGCATGCAGTGGAAGACTACTTAGCCTTAAATGGAAGGAAATTCAGCTATGTACTGCATTTCTGTAAATTCTGATGCACATGTGAACCTTGGAAACACTCAGAACATTGGTGTAGAGTGTTTGTTTGTTTGTTTGGTTTGGTTTATTTGGCATATTGGGGGGCAGTACAGGGGATGGAATCCAGGGTTTCACGCATGCTAGGCAAGCACTTCTGAGCTGCATCCCCAGCTGCATATATTTATGTGTACATATCCTCATAAAATATCCACTTTATCCAAAAATGTCCAATTTTTTAAAACATTTTGTTGTAGATGGACATAATACCTTTATTTTATTTATTTATTTTTATGTGGTCCTGAGGATTAAACCCAGTGCCTCACATGTGTTAGGCGAGCTCTCCACCAGTGAGCTTCAAACCCAGCCCCCACAAATGTCAATTTCTTTTGGCCATATCCTAAGGGTGGAATTGCAGGATCAAGTAGTAACTGTGTTCAGCCTTTTGAGGAACTGCCATACTATTTTTAAAAATGTGTTCCCAGCGCAGCCTGGGGTCTAGTATTCCACATCCACACCAGCTCTTGTTTCTCTGATGGTAGCCATCCTAAGGGGTGTGAAGTACTGCCTCGCTGGCTTGGGTTTGCATTTTCCTATGGCTAGTTCTGTGAGACATCTTTGCATGATGTCTCTGGGCCAGATATACACATGTATATATGCACTTATATTTGTTGAAATCTTTTGCCCATCTTTAAAATTACTTGTCTTTGTGTTATTGACTTATAATATGAGTTCTTCACGTAATCCAGATAGAAGCCCCTTATCAGATACGTGATTTGCAGATAATCTCCCAATCTGTGGCTTATCTTTCTGCTTTCTTTGAAGTAGAAAATTATTAAATTTTGATAAATTTGTTTATATTTTTCTTGTGCTTTTGGTGTTATGTCTGAGAAATTGTTACAGAAGCTGGACAGCTGTGGAAAGTATCTTGGCATCTAAATTGTCCCTTTATTTCCATGTCCCTTTCAGATATCTCAGAAGATTACATTTTAGTTTGAAAAAGGGGCGATGGAATGCAAAAGAAGAGGAGCAGTTAATCGAATTAATAGAAAAATACGGTGTTGGTGAGTTGTGGAAGTGTTCGCTCCTCTAGATCCTGCCAGCCTGGAGCTCATGGTGAAGGCTTGCAGATCCTACAGGCCTATGGTTCACTGCTGCCTGAGATTAGCTCTCTGGCCTCATTTCTTACTGTTTTGACAATGGTGGTGGTCTCTCCCATTACAAATTTGGGGGGTTTTGTTGTGTTGGTTTTGGTGCTGGGGATGGAAACCCCTCATGCCTGCTAGGCAAGCCCTTAGCCACAGAGCCACATTCTGGCTCCCTTTTATGAGTTACTGCGTATTCACTACAGGAAATCTAGAAGTAGAATAAGGCAGCCACCCTAGACCCGAGGCACTGCTGTTGCCGTGTGCCCACCACCACTTGCCCTGTGCAGCTGCTACTCAGCCCTTGCCTGGTCTTGTGACCTACTGCTTAGCTCACTGTGGCAATTGCACTGACCACTCTCCTGCCTTCAGTGGCTACATTGTATTTCCCTGGAGTGCAGAACATACCTTATTTAATCAGCCTTCTCCTGACAGATATTTAAATTCTTACTACTTCTTTTGTGATTTTTAGCTAAATCTTCACATTTGTAATATCTCCTCAGAGTTATCCTAGTTAAGGAATTGCTAGGCTTAAGGATATCCAAACACAAAGACTCTTGTCACCTGTTGTCACACTGCCCAATAAAAGCGGCTCCTGGTTTCCCTCCCACCCAGTACTACCTGGAAGGGGGCATAAATCCCTGGAATGTCCAGTGTGCATGGAGCCTGATTATAACAGATTGTGGGAGACCCACGTTTAGAATTGTGGGTGACTTTTCCTTCTTGGTTGCATGTTTGCCAGTACTTCCCTGATCACCCCAAGACTCGGGTGCTGCCAAACTGCAGGTGCACCAACATAAGTGACGTCTGCTCCTTGCCAAGCCTAGGAAGCTGTGCAGGAAGCCCTTCCCCAGGAGCCCAGGCTCAGCTCCTGCAGGCAGCAAGCCCTCTTTCCAAGCTGATGAGTGTGTCCTTGGAGAGAATCAGGATGAAGCTGTTTCCATGTGGTTTTGCTTTTGTAGGTCACTGGGCGAAAATAGCTTCTGAACTACCCCATCGCTCAGGCTCCCAGTGTCTAAGCAAGTGGAAGGTCATGGCTGGGGTAAGACACCTGTTTGTTTGGGGAGCTTTCCTGAAAGTCAGACAGAAGGCCCCATCACCTGGAATACCTGGGGGAAGGGAGGGGAGGGGCCTTTGGTTTTGGGCCCTGGCATTGGGTTGTCTTCAGGCCAGGGGCAGAGGGAGACCAGCCTGGTCAGCAGCTGCTTTCTACCCCTTGAGGTGTTCCTGTTTGAAGGCCTGTCCTTCAAACCTGGGCAGCAGAGGCCTCCAAGTGACCCTTTCCTCCACTTAGAAGAAGAAGAGTCTCCGGAGGAGGCGACGGCGGCCCTGTCGCAGAGTCCGCTGGAGCTCCGATAGCAGCAGCAGCTGTAGCACTGGAGGTGGCGGCAGCAGCAGCAGCAGTAGCAGCAGCAGCAGCGAGGACCCAGAGACAGAGCTAGAGGAACCCCAAAAGGGCCTCAGAGGGCCACTGTCCCCAAAGTACACAGTGCCAGACATGGACCTGTGGGTCCCTGCCAGGCAGAACACCAGCCAGCTGCAGAGGGGAGGGGCTGGGGGCTGCTCAGGACACCCTGCTGCCTTCACTGGCCCTTCTAAGGAGTTTGATGCTACCCAAGGTTGCAGTAGGGAAGCTTCCAGCACAGCCTTGGCTCCTCAGGAATTGAACCAGAGAGAGGCCCCTACCAGGATCCACAGCCCCGTCCCGAGAGGTGTCCAAGACCCACACTTGGCAGACCCTCACCCAGCAAGCCTGGAGGAGCCAGCCTCTGAGGTGGGTTCCAGGCCCCTAGGTGCATCCCTGGATGTATGCAAGGGGAGAAGTGGGTACCCTGTACTCTTGGTGGCCACTGAGGCTGGTGTTCAGTGACACTGTGGCAGCCTGGTCTGTGGCCTAGCCACCAGCCATGTTCCTTCATTGTGCATTAGAAAGTTCTTTTTTGGGCTGATGTTAGAATTGCCCATGTGCAGCAGCCTTTGTAGAGAATAGCAGCCTCCAGTGTTCCCAGCTCTGCTTCAGAAGCCCAGGGGAGACCTGCTTCAGGGCCATGGCTGAGTGGGCACTTGGACTGGGAGGCATTTGTGAAACTTTACATCCAAGTTAGGGGACAGGGAGGAGCCATTTTCCCCCATCTGTGTGACATCTGTGCAGGCTAGCCCAGCTAGTCACGTACATGGACTTGTCGCCCTCTGTTTTAAAAGAGTTGGGGCACTGGGTGCAGAGCAGTGGTGCCCCAGCTGCCCCCGGGTGGAGCACAGCCCACAGCAACACCCTCACCTCGAGGGCCGTTTCTGGCAGCCTCTCTCCTGGGAGCCAGGCCTGGCTGAGGGCTGCACGTGTCCTGTGCAGACCTTCCCAGCGTGGAGTGGCGCCCATGGCCTGCAGGCTAGGCTCTGGCCCAGGGAAGTCCATAGCAGCACAGGCTTCAGGCCCCCACATCCAGCCTCCTCTCCTGGTCAGGGTGGACAGCATCTGCTGAAAGTACCCCTGATGACAGTACAGAAGGTGCTGAGGACCAGTATGGCCGTCCAGAACCGCACACTGGTGAGGGCCCAAAGCACTTACATCCTGGTATGAGTGGTCTCTTTCTTGTCTGTGACCATACATTGAGGGAGTTGGGGATACTGTGGCCCTTTTGGCCAGGGGCCCAGGTGCCTTCTTCCTGCAGAAGGAGAGGCTGAGGCAGCCGTCCCCACCTGACTCACCCCCAGGGCCTGGCCCTGGTGACGGCATGGCTGGGCCTTACCTATGGCAGCTGAGTCATGGAACCTTCCAGAATGGACAGCAGCACCGGAGACATAATCTGCACCGGAGGCTCCTCGAGCGTAGACTTCTGTTGGCTGTGACACCATGGGTGGGTGATATCGCCCTGCCCTGCACACAGGTCCCCCCCAGGCCTGCAGCTGTGCACACTAGAGGTACTACCCATGTACTGGGAGCCTCCTGTGGGGGCTGAGGGTGGAGACAGGGTGCCTGGTGGTCTATCAGGAGTCTGAGAAATGGGCCATCCCTGGGGTCAGGCTGCTGGGAGGGGCAGAGGCAACTGTCCCCACAGGTTTGAGGAAACAGGGCCAGCCTTCCTTCTGCCCTTGCTGGTCTTCCTGCTATGTGAAGGGACAGCTGTGTGGGGTTCTTTGGGTAGTGGGAGGGCTTCTGTCCCTTGGTGCTTGTGTGGGACAGGGTTCTGGCTTCTCCTTGCCCCTGCCTCTACCACCTTGAGAGATCTCGGACTCCCAAAGGCGACCTTGGTAGCTGGAGCTGTTTCCCTTGTGTGCCCTCAGCTAACACCATCAGAATGCAGTTAGAGCCCGCCCGGCTGGCCAGCACCCCAGTGTTCACGCTGCTGATTCAGGTGAGCCACCTGAGCAGGAGGCTGTTGGCTTTCTTCTTTTGGTGGAGACTTGAAGTTTGCCAGGGGTTTACTTCTTGAAGTCTGGGTTATCTAAAGTTCCAGTCCTTGGAAACAGTCCTCTGGGGTCTACAGCTTTCACCAGATAAATATGGAAGGGGCAGCTGGTCATTCCATTTAACCCCTTGTGTAAAATGGGGATAGGCACCAGAACCCCAGGTCTAAGTGGAGGATGAGCAAGAGGGAGGAGGCCTGGTGCACACTCAAAGGCTAACCAGAAGGAAGGGAAGGCAGCCTTGGACTGGGGCAGCCCGAGAACCTAAGTCCAATCTGAGGGCACCCGAAGCTCTGGTGGCCTCCAGCTGGCTCCAGCCAAACCTTGGGCTGTGAATCTGATCCTGAGGGCAGCCTCGTGGGGACTACAGTCGGGGCCGCGCCCCTCCTACAAATAACTTAGGCACTTGGACCCTATGGGGCTGGGGAGGGGACGTGCCCTTACCCCAGTGTCCCTCAGCTGTTGCAGATCGACACTGCTGGCTGCCTGGATGTTGTTCGTGAGAGGAAGACCCAGCCACCCACATCACTCCAGTCTGGCACCCAGGGCCTACCACCACATCTTCTGCAGGTAGCAGCCTCAGGGTCCAGTTCCCTTGGAGGAGTGGGGCCCACCTCCCAGAGCAGCCTTCCCTGCCGTGCTCCTCCAGGGAGGGAGACCTGTGCATGCCCACAGTGAGGGTCTGAGCCCTGACAGGCTTCTTGGCGAGTCCCAGGCAGGTGCAAGCGGGATGACACCGAGGCGTGCCAGGTTGTGGACCTTGTGCCTCTCCCAGGACACCACCTGTCCCAGGCAGAGGTTGGGAGCTGCAGGCACCTCATACTTCAGAAACTAAACACTCAGGCTTAGCAGGAGACCTGGCCCTGGAGCTGTCTCCTGGGGAGGCTGGGAACCACAAAATAGTATCACTAGTCTGCGCATCAAATACGGCTTCATGGTCTGCACAGGCCACACACCCCACGCTGCGGCAACCACCAGATGAGCTCTGGCAGGGCTGCCTGCTCCTGGAGCCCCAGCATCAGGCTTTCAGCCACTGTCATGGCCCCTGAGCTCTGTTCAGAGCTGGGCTGAGGCTCTAGAAAGTATCAAAGGTCGGTCTGGGTGGGGAGAGGTGATCTGAGCCCAGCGAGGACATCCTGCAGGCTGACTGTCTCTTTCCTTTTCAGGCTCCCTCCTGTGCCCAGAGCACCCCAGGTACCACCTCCACACTTCTCTCTGTCTTGGTGGGAAAGGCAGCATCTGCCACACTGGTGCCACAGCTCCAAGCAGCACAGCCTGTGGCCCTGTTGGTGGGTGTCTGTTGAATCCCACCCCGGGGCCAAGAGCTGGCTGGGCAAGCCCAGGGCTGCTGGAGTTCTTGCCTGCCTGCCCTGAGGCAGCCCAGGCATAGAATCAGGAGGCCAGAGGTTGCCTCTAGCAAAGGCTGTTCCTAATGGCAGTCACCAGTCACCCATGCCAACAGAACCTGGTTCTGGACCTGTCCTAGGACCTTGAGGGGACAGTGCTTTGTCACAGGAGGGGGAACAGTGGGGCCAAATAGCCCTGGTCTGGAAGATTCTTACGGTTTAGGCTAGTCTCGGGCCATTCATTATTAAGCAGGCTGGGCTACCTGTACTGTGGTCAGAGCATTGGAGTTTGAGGGTCTATGAGGTGAAAGATCTGGCGGTAAGCAGCTGGAGCCCTTGGTCTAGAACCTGACTCCCATCCCTTCTGTGATGACTCCCATCCCTTCTGTGAAAAAGCTGCCCCCTGCAGGGGCCTCTTGATGTCCCTAGGTCCAGAGCCTGGGGTCCCCATCAGCTGTGGATGTCTGTCCCTCTACAGGATGCCCCTTCCCAAATGTGCCAACCCGGAATGCTACAAAGAGTGCCAGCCACAGAGGGAGCACAGGACAGGAGTCCTGCCAGGCCAACTCCACCTCACCCCAAGTACCTGTGGCGGCCCCACGCGGTCCCCGACCCAAGCCTAAGACTGTATCAGAGCTGCTTCGGGAGAAGCGGCTCCGTGAGGCTCGTGCCAGGAGGGCCACCCAGGGCCCAACTCTTCCTCCCCAGCTGCTGGTCTCCCCTGTGACCCTTGGGCCCCCTGTGCTGCCAGCCCCTCAGCCTCAGGGTTCCCCAGCCACAGGTCCTGTCTCCAGTACAGACTGCTTTGGGCCTAGGGCCCCCATGGCAGCCAGTGCATGCCCGTCTGGCTGTTGGCAGGAGACTGGGGTTTCAGACAAGGACGAGGGACTCCCCACCCTACAAGCCTTGCCTCTCAGTCCCGCCCCAAGCCCTGGCCAAGTCCCCGTGGGCTGCCCTCTGAGCATTCTGGGACAGTCTCAGGCCCCTACCACATCCCGGAAGCAGGGCCTACCTGAGGTTCTGCCCTTTTTCCCTGCAGCCCCCAGCCCCACTCAACTGCCCATGCAGCCCCTCAACCTGACTCCTGCTCTGGGCACACACAGAAGTGGGACCCCCCTGGCAGCCAGCATCCCCTTGCCTGTCACCTGGGTGCTCACAGCCCAGGGGCTGCTCCCTATGCCAGTACCAGCAGTGGTGGGCCTCCCTGGTCCCACAGGGCTACCTGTGAAGCTCCCACCACCCTGCTGTGAAGCTCCTGCTTGCCCCTCACAGCCCCAGGCCAGTGTGGACACAGAGCCAGCCCCCTCTTCCAGGACTGACACCTCAGCTCCCCCAACTTGCTCCCTATCCCAGAGTCCTCTAGAAGTCGGTGGTAATGTTCCTGGCGCTCTTGGAGAGGCCCAGGTGGTCAAGGAGGCTGCAGTGCCAAGGACGTCTTCCCAGACCAACTGCCCTGAAGCAGAGCCCCCCCGGCCCAGCCAGCTCTCTGCTTCTGTTGGCACTGGTCCCACAAATGGCTCAAGAGGGACACTGGAGCCTGGGGGGCCTCTGGGTCTAGAGAAGCCACAATTGTCTGGGTCCGAGAAGGGTGCCTTGGATCTGAGCCTGCTCTCCCTGGAGAGTGAGGCAGCCACATGGCAGTGGCTAAAGGGACAGCAAGGGGTTCATGTGCCCCCACTGGGGAACAGGCTACCCTACCATCCCCCCACCCTGTCCAGTTTACGAGCACTGTCCAACCTCCTGCTCCACAAGAAGGCCTTGGAGCACAAGGCCTCCTCCCTAGTGGCCAGTGGGGCAGCTGGGGCGCTGCAGACCTCGTTGGAGCTGGTGCGGAGGCAGCTGCAGGACAACCCAGCCTACCTTTTGCTGAAGGCACGGTTCCTGGCAGCCTTCACAGTGCCTGCTCTCCTGGCCACCCTGGCCCCGCATGGCATCCGTACCACCCTGTCAGTGGCCACAAGAGCCAGCTCTGAGAGTGAGGATGAGGACCTCCTGAGTGAGCTGGACCTTGAAAACAGGGACAGCTGGTTAGGCTGTGCATCCAGTAGAACACAGGCAAGGCCAGCAACCACGGTCCCCATCCAGGTAAGGGTGCCAGGCTCAGCTGCACTTTCCTGCCTACACGTCCTTCCTGCCTGGCGTGGCAAGTTGGGGCTGATGAAGTGGCACAGGGACACTGGCTGCATGTCCCGCAGGAGGAAAAAGCTGGCCCACGCTGCAGAAACTCAGCCCTGCCACTCAGGGTCCCCCCCACCCCAAGTGCTGGGTGGGTGTTAGGAAGAGCTCGTGGTAGCTGAGCTGGCCAGCTCTGAGCTCTGCCCACCACAGGCACACACCTGACCCAGGGCTTCTGTTTAGGACGTTTTCTCATCTGTGTTAGCAATACTTTTCTTTCTTGTCCCACCAGAACCTTGAAACAAAATGTTGGGGACATTGTTGTGGCCTCCTGGCTGCCCCTAGGGAGCCACAGACACCAAAACCCCTGCCCCTGTTGCCAGGTGTCAGACCTTTGTGCCTGACCAGGGTGGGCTTCAGCCTTGCAGGGGTACCTGTGGGCAGCAGCCTCCAGTGATGCCCTCCCCAGGATTTCCAGGTGCAGCCTTCCCCTTCCCCCTGAGGTGGTCGCTCCCTTCCCAGGGGGGCCAAGCCCTGTTCCTCAGCACTGTCCCTGCTGGCCCTTGCCTCAGAGCAGAAGGCTGGCCACGAAGGGTTTCCTTAAAGTGGGTTGGCGATGCCTTTGTGAGGGAGAAAGCCCCCTGTGGGCTCCAGGAAGGCCTGCTGCAGCCCCTCCCTGGCTCAGTTCACAATGTGCCCTGTCCTGAGTGAGGACAGATCCAGGAAACTGGCCTGTTCTGTCTGGGTCAAGACTGGCTAGTGCTTTCCCCTCAAGGCCCTTCTCCGTGCCCCCATCCACTGCCCATTGTGGTGGGGGTCACTCTTATTTGTCCTTGCCTGGGCTCTTATTTCAGGGAGCTCTGGTTTCTAGCGAGGGTGCTGTTCCCTCCCACTTGGATACCTTTGATGACCTTGATGTGCTCAGGACCAGGCATGGCCGGCATGCCCGGAAGCAGAAGCCCCTGCTGTGAGCAGCAGGTGAGTCCCAGGCTCTGCAACCAGGAGAGCCGGGTGCCTCCTCTGTTGGGGAGCACCAAAGCTGAAGCCGGGTGTGAGGGTCCACAGGCTGTTTGTGTGTATGGGCCTGGTAGGAACAGGGCCAAGTCACACAGGCTCTCTATCCTCCCACCTACCCACCCTGTGTGCCTCAAGGCCTCTGCACAGCTGTCCCCTCTGCCCATAGGATTACAAAGCTCCTCCCTCCCCTTGCTGAGTCTCCACTCCATCCATCCTGGTGTCACTGATTATGTCACCTACCACACGCTACCTGTGTAGTTATGGTCTACCCATGGCCTTGAGCCCATAAGAGCACTTTGCTTTTGCTCTGGCCCTTGTCCTGGACAGCAAGTGCCTTATAGGCCCTGGTGTGTTTGGGTTGAGAAGAGGGAGTCAGGTCAGCCCACCCAGAGGCAAGAGCAGTTGCTTTGACCACAGGACAGGTCCTGGAGCTGGCAGGAGTGGCAGGATGATGTGGCGGAGGGTGGCAGTGTCCTGGTGTTCCAGCTGGTCTTCTGTGCATCCGACCCTGGGTTCCAGTGCCTTTCCCCATGTGGCACAGTGTCGCTGGCCGTACTGTCTGGGGTCTGGCTGCATGTACTGGGCCCTCCTGGAGTCGAGTGCCCCCCACCATCAGTGTGCTCCTGTGTTTCAGAACAAGGACATAGAGCCCGCGCCTACCCCAAGAGCCCATCGTCCACTGTACAGGAGAAAATAGCCAGGGTCTGGAGAGCTGCTGCCTGTAGTAGGCAGGAAGAAACCCAGCAGAGTGGCCACGTTGGTTGTCCCAGGCTTGGCTGGTCTCTAAGTACAAAGCTCAGTGTTTGAAGGAATAAAGTAAATGTTCGATTTTTCAATTAAAAAGCAAGACAAGCTTTTGTGATTTTGTTGTCTTAGGGTACCGGGTGGTAGACCCAGACTGCCACCACCAGAATTGTACCACCCGTCAGCTCTGGGGATGCATGGGACACCAGCTGGCTCAGCCTCCTTTGCTGGGCCTTGGGCTCATGGACCCTGAGCTCTGGAGAGGTTAGAGAAGTAGCTCCTGTCTGTTTTGTGGAAACAGGCTGTGGCTCTGGCCACACTGGCCCCAGGCAGCGTCCCCAGGACCAGTGGCCACCTGCCTGCCCACAGTCACAGCAGCGGCTCCCTCCCTCTGGTGGTTCCTTTCCCGTGGGCATTTCCTGGCTCCGGGCCAGAGCCCAGCCATGTGCCTGCCCCTTTGCTTTCCCAGTCCTGTCTTCTCATGTGGCTTCCCACTCGCCCAGGCCTGGGACCCTCCTGTGGCTTGGTTCTCATCACTTACTTCATTTTCTCACTGGAGATTTCCAGCTCAGAGAAGTAAAAGGAGGGGTGCCTGTCCAGGTCCTGATCGTTTGGGGACCATCACAGGCACTGGACCCGCCCTTCGGCTATTAGGCTCTGCTGCTGCAAGTGTACACCGCCACCAGTATCTAGTTTTCCTCGTTGATTCCTCTAATCTGCGGGTTGTAGAGTTTTCTTAAAATTTATTTCCAAATACTTGGGAATTTTCCAGATATCTTTCTGTTGCTAACTCCTAGCCTAATTCTGATAAGTCTGAGAACATGACTTTAAAGTATATTTGTGGTCCTGGAGATCAAACCTAGCTACAGTTCAGTGGTACAGCTGCCCTAACCTTTTTTATTTTATTTTGAGTCAGGGTCTTAAAAGTTGCCCAAGCTAGCCTCTAACTTGGAATCCTCCTGCCTCAGCCTCCTAAGTCCCTGGGATCACAGGCATGTCCACTGTGTCCAGCAATGTCTTTATTCTTCAGAATACACACCTGGGGCTAGGGGAGTAGCTGAGTGATGGAGCACTTACTCAGTATGTGCAGGTCTGGCTTCCATCCCCAGCACTGCAAAGACAAAACCCCAGAAAAGACACCTTTGTCCCTCATGAACAAATGGGATGCTCTAGGCAGGGGAGCCCCTGCCACTTCCCTGCTGTGACAGCACAGCCTGGGTCACCTCTGCAGTCGACGAGGAGGTGCTGCCAGGGCCTGGAGCTGGAACATCCCTAACTGCCTGCTCCTCCACACATGGGCAGGGCTGCTGGCCCTCCGTGGAATCCAGCAGGAGAGCTGGTCTCGCAGGGTCAGAGGCCATGCAGGGAGTGGTCAGGGGAGCTTCCCACCCTTTCCACTCACCCCTTCTTGGTAGCTGTTGCCTCAGCCTGACCGGGCAGGCCAGGTGTGGCTCCGTCCAATCAGCTCCTCCTGCTGAAGTGGGGCCTGGGGCTCTCCACACCCCTCAGGGACCAGGCTCCAAGGACCACCCTAGATGTGGGCCAGAGAGGACTCTGTTGCCTGTCACCCATTGGCTTTGGCCGAGCTTTGCCTGCCATCAGCTTCTGGGAGTACCCCCCATGCATCCTGGTAGAAAGGGAGACTGGCATGGGGGTTCCCAGTGGCAAGGACAGGGAGGACATCAGGGTGCCTCACCCCCTGTGGAGGGCTTAAATGTCTAGCTGGACAGTGGGCTGGCAGCAGTGTGCCGCAAACACGCTATTACTCCTGACCTCTGGTAGGTCACCCAGCCCTGAGACCATGTGCCCTCCGGGGTGCCATGGTGGGTTGGCCTCCTCTAGCCCAGGAGGGCCTTTGCCCTTCTTTCCACGTTTTCAGGTGCCCTAAGATCTGGGACCCTGTCCCTGGGCAGGCAGGCTCCTCTGTTCCCCAGAGGACTTCCACTTCCCTCCCCTGGGGCCGCCCTGGCTGTCAAACCAGAAGCAGGCCACCAGGGACTGTCCCCCTGCGGGAGGACAGGCCTGCCTTAGTGGTGTTAACCAGAACACAGCAGGAAGTCAGAGCCTCCCTCTGAGCTCCACCCTCGCTCCCTCCAGCACCAAGCTGCCGACAGCATCTCCCAGAGACCCTGGCAGCCCCAGATCCTGGTGTTCCCACGGCCAGGACAGCACGCAGCTGGCAGGTGGCTCCTGCAGGTAGGCTGGCCTGGAGCCCTTCAGGAGATTGGCATGGGGGAAGGTGGCTGGGAGACCATAGTCTTGCTGGGGACCCTGAAGCACATGCCTAGAGCAGTGCTGTGCTCCCACAGGCCAGCCATGCGGCCTCAGCGATTCCCGGGCCCTGCACGGCCACTCTGCAGAGACCTGTTCGCTCAGAGGAGTCAGTGGTGGGAGTTGGTGTGGGCCATGTGGATTCGGGCCAGAAAGACAGGCAGTAAAAGCCCAGTGTTCCCAGGACTGTCCCCTGGGCCACCAGCCTGGGCAGGGAATCGGTGCAGCAGGAAGCTGAGGAGTTATTCAGAAGAGCATGCCTGTCTCAAGGGCCAGTGGCCCAGCCAGCTCCTCTGGCCGGTCAGGGCCCCATCCCTGTCTCAGGGAGGTAGAGCTGCTCGGCTGCTGCCACCTTGGCCCAGTCCTGAAGCCAGTCACTTGAGCTGTGCACTGGTGAAAGAAGATATCAAAGGGTGGGCCCTCATGGGAAGACCCCTTGTCTACAGCTGGCCTGAGTGTCCCCAGCCTGGCAGGAGCCAGGCCCTCTCTGGGCCAGAGAGTGCAGGGGTCACCAGTGCCCAGGACCTGAGAACCATGAGAGGGTGCGGCAGCAGCTTCCCTGGGCAACAGGCAACCCTGCCAGCCCCTAGCAGCATGCCCGGGTCTAGGGTAATGGCAAATGCCCCCGTGAGCAGCCCTCCACCGCCCTCCCTAAACAGCTCCGTGACACGGGGAGCTGCCATGGAGCTGTTGCATCACCAGCCCATGGCCAGCGGAAGGACTGGGGGGCAGGGGCCTTGGGGGATGAGGAAGTCCTCCACAGCCTGGCTCCCTCCCAAGGCAAAGGTGGGAGGGCCACCAGCCAACCTGCCCCTCGCCCAGCCCGGATGCTGGACGGCCAGGACTCACAGTGCCATGCAGGGTGGCCCCGTGGGACAAACCTCCTCCCACCACTTTGGAATGTCATGGTGCAGGGGAATGTTCTTCTCTTAGACCCCAGCTGTTCCTCTCATATTTACCCAGGTGATTCAGGAAGAAAGCAAGCTGGGCAGAGGGGCAGGGCCGGAGCTCAAAGGAGGAGGCAGCTCGGTAGCCTGACAAGGAGCTGTCCCAAGGCCTCTGCTGTCCCTGGGGAAATGGTCATGCAGCCAGGAATGTGAGGGTAAACCCCTCAGATGCCCCTGGGTGGGGCTCCCTGGTGGCCCTGCCCAAAGCCCTGGCAGGACACCTGTACACTTGGGGTGGGCTGACCCTGGGGCTAGGCTCCAGGCCAGGGGCACAGCAGGTGGGCATTTACCTCGGCTGCTCTCGCCAGCTCCAGCCACCAGCCTGCGGAGGCCATGTCGGACTATGAGAATGAGGACGAGTGCTGGAATGCCCTGGAGGGCTTCCGGGTCAAGCTCATCTCTGTCATCGACCCTGCCCGCATCACGCCCTACCTGCGCCAGTGCAAGGTTCTGAACCCTGATGACGAGGAGCAGGTGCTCAGTGACCCCAACCTTGTCATCCGCAAGCGGAAAGTGGGTCAGTGTTGCCCCCGCCTGCTGCCCCAAGGATCCAGGCCCCAGGTGGCTGCTTTGTGCCTCCCTGGCCCTGGCCCACCCAGGTGGACTGTGAGCCCCAGCCTCCATCCTGAGGACGGAGTGGAGGTCCCCTCCCATGTTGCTGGAAGCTATGATTGGAGTGGCAGGGAGCTCACACACCACTGAGGCCCTGGGAGGCCTGGGGTGGGCGGGCAGCACTTTGTCCCCATCGTAGGCCACCTGCAGGGCACCTCCATCAGATCATTAGCCTGACCTCTGTGTTGGGCAGGCCAGGCCTGGCCAAAGCCGGGTGGGGCGGGCAGGGGCACACACAGCTTGGGGTACCTTGTGCCCAGAATGTACCCCACCTGCACCTTGGGAGCCTCCTCCCCAGCCCTGGCCCTGCCCCCCCCGCCCCCAATGCCCCAATCCCCAGCCCTGCCTCTCTGGCCTGCAGGCGTGCTCCTGGACATCCTGCAGAGGACAGGTCACAAGGGCTACGTGGCCTTCCTCGAGAGCCTGGAGCTTTACTACCCACAGCTATATAGGAAAGTCACCGGCAAGGAACCAGCTCGTGTCTTCTCCATGATCATCGGTGAGGGTCAGGATGGGGTGACCTTGGGGGTGGGGTCCAGGCACGGGGTCTCCCCCTCGCAGGTCCTTCTGGTAGGTCTATAGTTCATAAAATGGGGGAGAAAGAACCTGGAAATGGGCCAGCATGAAGATCCCGCCCCCACCCCCCCACCCCACTCAGGGTCTGGGCACCTGCATTGCTGGGGTACCCCTGGCCTCCAGAGGGGGAGCTTCTGGGGGTAGGAACCTCTCCCGGCCTCAGAATACCCACTCGCTGTGGGTTCCACCTCTCTAAAGCCTTTGTCCCCACAGAGTCCTGTGATTCCCAGCAGGGGCAGCGGGATGCTGTCCTGCAGGTAGCCCACTGGTTTGCTGCATCTCATTAAGATCCTTTTTAGCATGTGCAGTGGCCACACCTGTAACCCCAGCTACTCTGGAGGCTGAGGCAGGAGGGTCCCAAATTCCAGGCCAGCCTCAGAACTTAGTGGCCCTATCTCCAAATAAAAATAAAAAGGGCTGGGGATGTAGCTCAGTGTAGAGCACCCCAGAACCCAGGGGTGGGAGCGGGGAAGATCTA